CCGCGCCGGCGACCGTCCCGCTGCCCCGCGGCGCGGGGGCCTCCCCTGCCGGCCCGGGGCCTGACCGCGGCCCCACAAGGAAGTCCCTCAAGGCAGAACCCAACTTGAATGGGTGTTTTCTTTATCTCCGCAGCGCAGCTGGGTGATGCGAAGGTGGGGTGGGAGGATCCTGTCTAAAAATAGAGGATTGTGAAAGCCGGTCTAGTGCGTGTCGTTGGTAACAATTACCAGAATACGGTGGGACTGCAACTCAGCACTCGCCCCTCCAGTGGGTCCACAGCCATTAGACGTGTAGAAGGTCCCCATCCAAAGTTAAACCACAGTTCTTACCTCAAGTAAGGCCTTTCAACCGAGGAGTTCGGGCACTCTTCAGAAATCTTATTTCACCTAGAAGACTTGTTGATCAAACTGTGCTTAAATTATTTGCCTAATACAGTTTGGAGGAGAGATTAGTAAAGAGATAAATATCCCTTTTAACCTTTGATGGACTGAAAGTAATTCAGAAAACTTTAAAAAAGAGGAGGTGTGTAGCCAGCCTCTGAAGAAACATGCGTCGTGGGGGTCCTGACGGTTTGCGGTTGGGCGTGGGCCTGCCCTGCACCAGCTCCGGGGACGAGAGTAGAAATGGAGCCGAAGTCTAGTGCGACCGCGGGGCTCTGTGCTAGCGTGGACGAGTCACCACCTGAGTGTCACAGCCGGTCCTATACATCTTGAGGATCGTCCCTGTTTAGGTCAGGAAGAAACCAAGTTTTCACGCAGGCTCTGTGCTAAAAGTGTTATTTCAACCCACTGCAATTTTGTGGGTAGGGTGCTGTTTTTAATCCCCATTTTAGAGAAAACTGAGGCTTAGCGAGCAGGGGAAGCCTGCCGGAGAGCCAGGGAGAGAAGGATGCAAACCCAGTGTGTCTGTGCCCTGGTCAGAGCCTTCAGCCTGTTGCAAGTGTGAATATCCCACTGCCCCTTGTGTCTTGTTTTGCGGCTCCCTCATTTTGCATTGTGAGTTCAACCCCAGGAAAATATGAGACGCTGTATTCCTGTGTTTCTCCCTTCCATCTGCCTCCCAATTAAGTAACCTTCTAGAGAAGCTTGGGATGTCAAAAAACACCGGCTCAGATTCAGTCCAACTGACAAGGTCCATCTGTGTAAAATAATTTGATAATTAATGTTGCAGTCGGTTAATTGAAACCACAGTAAATGGCAGACCACACCAACCCTCCTTCTTCCCCTTTGAGGTTTAATTTTTCTTGTTAGTATCACTATCTAACTTCTAAAAAGAAATCTACTTTTTAATTTTGCTTTTTGACCGTCAACCCCAATTGTTCACTATTCCCCACAGTCATTTGCAAGTAGTCCTGGGAGCTGCCTTCTAAGTACATGCCAGACTGGCTGCCTCTTGCCTCCCCCATTGCTGTAATCCTAGTCAGGGGAAGATCTGACAAATGGTGGTGCCATTAACCAAGATGGGGAAGTCTAGGGAGAAAGCAGCATCAGAGTTAAATCAAGAATTCTTTTGAGTTAGATATCCTATTAGACATCCAAGTGGAGTTGTTGAGTAGTTCATTGTATCTATGAATGGAGCCTCAGTCCAGGACCGGAGTCATCAACATGTAAGACTGGGGTATTTAAAGTCATAGGAAGATATGTGGTCATCAAGGAGTGAGTGATGAGGAATGAGGAGCAGGCCCTGGGCACTCCTCCGTTTAGAGCATGTGGAGAGGAGGAGGAGTCAAAGAGGAGGCTGGCAAGGGGCGGCCAATGAGACAGGAAGAAAACCCGGAGAGGCGTGGCGTCTGACAGTGGTTCAGGAAGGAGGGCGGCCTTGAATGGCCCAGTGCTGCTGGGAGGTCGGCTGAGTTCAACGCTGAGAAACGGTTTGCTCAGATGGGGACTTGTCGGTGACATTCACAAGAGCCATTCTGATGGAACGCTGAGGATGAAAGCCTGATGGGAGTGGGTCGTGGGAGACTGGAAGAAGATGAAAAGGAGGCAGGGCGTGTGACAACTCTTTGGTGAAGTTTTACTAGAAAAGAGGGCAGAGCTGTGGAGCTGTAATTGAGCGGGGATGTGGGGCAAGGAAGGTTGTGCGTGTTTATTTAAGATTAGAGATACTAGAGCATGTTTGTTTGCTGAGGGATTGATCCAGAAGAGAGGGAAATTTTGATGATAGAACAATAGAACAATGATGGAACAATATGTTAAGAAACAAAATCCTTGGCTGAGCAGGTGAAAGGGGACAGGATACAGAGTCCAAAGGAGCAGAAGTGAGAGGAGCAGCGACGAATGCTGGTAGGTTGGTACGTTTAGAGGTTGGAGGATGCAGCTGTTCTCATGATAATCCTGGGCAATAGGTAGGGCATGAGTCATTATCTTCATTTCACAGATGATAAAACTAAGATCCAGTTAAGTGATTTGCTTAAGTCTTCACAAATAAGTAGCAGAGTTAAGACTCAGCACAAGTCTCCCGACTCCAAGTCTTGGGCTGTTGACGTTATACCTGAGTTCCTATGATGATCCTTCCCTGTTAGTGGGGCTTAAATTGCTTCTTCCAGGTTAGCTGGACTTGGAGCCCAGAGCCTGGGATTCTAGTGCCTGCCTGTCACTGCCTCTGGGGCTTGTTCAGCTTCTCTAAGGCCAGGCTGCCTTGTTTCCAAGGTGGGAACACTAATAGCTGCCAGCCAGGTGTGCTGTAAGAATCGAGTGAAATAATAGACGTGTAAGTGCTTTATAAATGGAAAAGTGCTTTCTATACAAATGTAGGATGATGATTCATATGGTTGTAGCTCAGGCTAAATAGATTCAGAAATTTGCTAGGCAGAGCTATTTGGAAACGTGGCAAGGGCCAGAATTCAAGCTTTTCCTTGCTTATGTAACATGACAGAGTGGCTAATGCTAAACAAACATCAGAGAATTTGGTGTTAAACTATCTTTGTACTCGTAGTAATAGTGAGATTCACACCATTTTGAAAATGTGCAAAAATTGTTTAGAGGATGGCAGGCTGTCAACACAGATGGGGGTGGGGGATGATGAAGAAAGGATTCGGGGCGAAGCCCTTAATGGATATTCAGATCTGAACTTAGTCTTCTGTTTCCTCATCGTCGTCAGTCTCACTGTCCTTCTACATGACACTGGACACGAGGCTTTCTTATACGTTATAATAGTACACGTAGTTAGAGAACCTCAGCTGATTATATTGACTTGTGTCTTATGCTTTCAAGATTACTTCACGGTGGTGGGAATTTTGCTTAGAATTTAAATTGTATGAATAAACTACCACATATAAGTTACTGCATTCTGAAATCCATTCCATTTGAGAGCTTTTATTGCTTTGTGTGTATATATGTTAAATTTACTCATTTATATCACGTATTATCACTGAATTAACAGAAGATTATTCATGCCTTTGTGTACTTATTATGGTGTATAAAGGATGGATTCTAGAAAGCTATTTTGTTTGTTTTAAAAGCCCCTTTTCTTTTCATGAATATTGTTTGCCTTTTGAGTACAGCTAAATGTTGCAAAATTAATGACAATTTTCTTTGTAGAATTGATTTATCGTAACACTTTTTTAGTATTATGTAAAGAATTGTAAAATTAATTTTGTCATAGAATCACTTGTGTAACCCCTGGTAAAATATAAGTCTTGAATTCATTTTGTGTTCTATTTCTGGTGGATATTGGTCCATAACATTTGGCTTCTATTGGCTTTTCATGAATAATAAGGTTTTTTATTTAGTAAAACACCTTAGGACACATGTTATTGAGTTCAAATCAGGAAAATAGAATGCCAACAAATGTTGCTAGTAAGCATTATTAAAAGGATATTTTAATATTTTCATTAATCTGAACAGCTTGACACTTTTCAGGCTTTCTTCTTTATGAATGTTCATTATTTTAAGTGTTCTGGAAATTTCTCAGTGAAATTATCTTGCTTTAATATGTAAATGGAATTTCATTTTTTATTTTAGGGTGGTGATTCCACTGAAGCAACTGCCAAACCAAAGAGAAGTTTCTATGCTGCCAGGGATTTGTACAAATACCGACACCAGTACCCAGTAAGAGTACGGGATGTTTTTTCTAAGATGGACAATATTTCCCTCCTGTTTTTCTTATTTTGTGGTGCCTGTGAGCAAACACGCAGGAGGGGTCCTTACGCCTTTTTGATGTGTCTGTATGCTGGGGATTGATTTATTTTTTTCTTTAGCAGAACTTCAAGGATATCCGATATCAAAATGACTTGAGCAATCTTCGTTTTTACAAGAATAAAATTCCATTTAAGCCAGATGGTAAGTAATCCACTACTTTGGTAAAAAGCAAACTTTAAATAATAACATATACTTAGTTATTCTTTGTTTATTCTGTGGTCAGTACATCCTTAATGTGTTTGTTCATTGATGGGCTTTGCTCTGCTGTGCAGTCTGATGTGTCCCCAAAGTCTAGACCCAAGAGTTGTGAGCATCCACTTGGCAGATTCTGGAGGAATAACTGCGGATCAGCAACACCTTCCTGTGTACAGTGGCTTTTATCTGAAAGGTAGTGGGGGCCATTTTTGTGAGAAGAAAAGAGATTTATAGAACCATGGAGTATTAGGTTATGAAGGAACACTAGAGGAAATCAAGTTCACCTTCCTCATTTTAAGATGGGGTCACTGGGTCTTAAAGCTTGAATGCATGACTGGTGGGTCACTTGATTGTGGAGTTGGGTCTAGGTTCCACACTTCAGTGTTCTTTCCACTGTGCCATACCCCCAAATTATTGAGAACATAATCGAAAAGCGATGTTTATGTTAGAATTATCTTCCCTGTTGATTCTCAGATTCAGGGGTCGGGGAGCTATAGCAGCCCCAGTTCAGTGTTCCGTGTCCCGGGAAGGGAACTGCAGATACAGCAGGTCTCCCTTCAACTCTGCCAAATACACTGCCCATCCTTCACAGCCCATCCTCATGGTTCTCAGAGGGTCTTTTCTAAACTTAGAGTGAGACGATGCAGCCTCCATGGTCAGATGCATATTTCCCTGAGGTACCATGCTGTGAGTGATTCATGATGGGCATCCTAATTTATCCAGGTCTCCATAGAGCCCTTAATCTCCATGAGGTGACCAGATGGCCCTGGCTCCTGCTCTTTGCTTTCAGTGGAAACTGAGCCACATCCACAGCAATGTGAGTCAGGGAATGAGGATCTTGGGTTGTAAAGCTTTCCAAGTGGCAGGACCTTGCATTCTTGGGTGAACTGACCAGAGGAAGGTCAGTGGAGTGTTGGAAGGAGGAATTCCCCGTACCCTGCACTGAGAGGCGCGCCAGCTGGGAGTTAGGACTTAAGAACGTTGCTGAAATGCCAGATCCACTTGTCTTTAGTTAATTTTCTGGTGTCCCAAAAGTTTGCTCTGATTTGGAAGGGAACCTCTGGATAAAAATGCTTTGTAGTATTTAGTAATGATAGCAACGGACTGCTTTATCTGTTAACTGAAATAATGTTAATTAAATTATTAGTTTTTTTAGGACTTGGGGCGAGAAAACCTTTTGAAGAAATGCAATGATAGATTGTTAATTTGACTCTGATTTGAATTTAATAAAATTTACCTAAAGTAATGCCTTTAAATATTAAAAACACTGAACATAGACAGTATTTAACTGAATTATTTTTGTATTTCTAACAGTGAATTTATTTTTGAGGTAGTAATTTAAAGTAATAACTTCAAGCAATGTGTTAATTTTTTTGTAATCTTTATCACAAAATTTATTTTGAAATCTTGTAAATTTGGTGGGGGTCAGAAGTTTAACCTAAGGTCACATAAAACATTGTTTTAGTTTATTATGTAAATTACATCAACCCACACACTTTCATCCCCCGTATGTGTATACACACATACACACTTGCCTGTCTGTTACAACCACTGGACTCTCTTGTTTAGTGTGAAGTACACAAATGAATGTGCCTGTGTTTCCATAAAACCTGATTTACAAGACAGATGGGGGACCGTAGTTTGCCAGCCTCTGCTTTAGAGTAACGCTGTCCAGCAGAACTTTCTGCAGTTTGAGGTGCTATTAATTTCTTAAAAATTAGGCTTATCACATAACTATGGCTCATGAATTCATTCATATGTATGAGTCTATGGCATAGGGTATTCGTCTTCTAAAAGGATTACTCTTGGGTGCTGTTATTCAATTTTAAAAAGTTTTAATATAAAACTTAAGTGATTAAATCTTAAAATGCCTTCAGCAATGTTTTAAATGTCTGGGTCGTTTCTGAATGTTTCTGTTCAGGTGTTCACATTGAAGAAGTTCTGAGCAAGTGGAAGGGAGACTACGAGAGGCTGGAACACAACCACACCTACATCCAATGGTCAGTTGCGTGCCGCCTGTCGCGAACCGTGTCTGTTTCACCACGTGTGCCTTCCAGACACGTTCATGTACAAATGTTGTTTCTAAAACAGGCTTTTCCCCCTGAGAGAACAAGGCTTGAACTTTTATGCTAAAGAGCTAACTACATATGAAATTGAGGTAATGCAAGCTTGTTTCATTTTATGCGGGATGACCAAATCATGTTGCTGTTTTATTATCCTGGTAGCTACTGAATCATTTCAGCTGCTTTTTTTTTCATTAGGAATTCAAAAAAACAAAAGAAGCAATTAGAAGATTCCTCCTGGCTTATAAAATGATGTTAGAATTTTTTGGAATGAAACTGACTGATAAAACTGGAAACGTTGCTCGGGCTGCTAACTGGCAGGAGAGGTTTCAGCATCTGAATGAGTAAGTACGGCGCCCTCGGGCACCAGGGGCCGGCGTGTTCTTTTCCCCTGCTTGGGGTTCTCTGTGGAACGTAGGAACAGCTAGCAGATGGGCCAGGAGTTTGAATTCAGAAGCCGCTCTGAAATGCATTTTATTCTCTGTTCTGTATTCTAAAACAAAACAACACCAAAAGAGAATGGAATTCCAGGTAGAACTACTGGAATTCCATTCTCTTTTCCATCCAAACAGCCCAGAGCTGTTTCTCCTGAAACCTCCCCACTGCCCACAGCCGGTGTGGCCTCTCCCTCGTTATGCCATGTTTCTTGGCGTTTCTGGTTGTCGCTTGCATACAGTTTTCCAGATCCCCTCTGCCAGGTTGTGAGCTTCTCGTGGCCCAGTCTGTTTCTGACATCCTCAGGCCTGGTGCCGTTTTAGATTAAATCCGTGAATTAAGCCTATGACATATAAAAATCATTTTATAAGACTGAGATGTGTCCATACATTTTACTAAAAATGAGGGAAAATTACAATCTTCACTATTTAGGTCAAAAACAAAAGCCCATTTTTGGTTAACAAATCCCAAAACCTGTGAAGAAAATTTTAATATAGTTTATTGGAATTGATTTGCTGTATTCTTTTGCTTGGATATTTATAATTTTCGTTGATACTTATACCCAAAGTTTATTTTTCTCATTCTTTTCTTCACATGCAAACTGGCTTTTTCTTTTTAATTATAGGGTGACTCCTGAGTGCTGGACTATAAACCAACAGCTTTAAAGCATTTTTTAGCACATTATAATTAGCTGAACTAGGCAAGTACTAAGAGAAAAAACATTAAAACTACCTAAGAAATTTTTCTTTGCCCAAAACAAATCAGAATTTTGTGCATCAATTAACTAAGTGTTTTGACTCTTTCTAGAATTTTCATCTTGCTTGGTCAAATGAGTATAAGGATGACTGAACTTTCCTTTTACTTTATTGGTTGTAATCAACACTATTAAGATGGTAGCTTGAACTGAAACACTGAAGATATGGGCAGAAAACTTTATGACCCTGACTGTAGACCCGTTAACTCGTAACTCAAGTTAAATCTGCTTTATGTAAAGCTGCACTTAGGGCAGAATTGTGCAGGCTCTGCCTGAGCAATGCAGGCAGCTGTCTCTGGACAGAGTTTGCAAGCTTGTTATGTGATACTGTCGAAGAAAGCTGTGGGCAAGCGGCCTGTTGCAGGATGAAGGATGGCCAAAGTAAATCTCTGGAGAGGATCTGACAGTCCCTCATCTTCCATGTACTCACGGCTATTATTTTAGAGAATCTCCACTCCCAGCTTGTTATTTTGGTTAGAATAGCAATCTTGTTTAGTAAATGTTTGTTGAATGAATAAATGATAAACAAAATATGTTGGTCAGCTTAAATCCTCCTTGGGGTTCTGTCGTCAGATCCTGTAACTAGTGGCTGGGAACAGAGCGCTTCTGAGGCTTTAATTAAATGACCTCCTGGCTTGGGTCAGGAGAGGGAGCCTGAACTGACCTGCAGGCCTCAATCCTTGGCCGCATCCCCCTCCGTTTCTTCCTGCCACCCATTGTTTCCCTTTTTCCTTTCCCTGGGTATTGCATAGAGCTTTTCCAGCTGTGAATTAACTGCCTTAGAATCTTCCAGAAAACAAATTTCCTTTCTGATTTAGTTGCCAAAAAATAATATTGACTAGCTTTGAACAAATTATAGGGGATTATATGAAAACTTCTATTCCATTCTCTTTTTTCCTTTGGGCTCTTTTCTGATTTATCCTTAAATGTCACAACTTAGCTGTGTGTTAATCTCTACGATATCGTGCGTTGTTTGGAGTCTGCCGGGAATGCCGTGTGTTGACAGCAGCCCAGCAGACACATACTGAGTGGAAGTGCGGTGAAAACGTTCAGTGAACAGTGAGGTGACTCGGGCGGTGAGAGCCCGGCACACAGACCAGGCTCCGAGAGGTGGTTCCGGGTTCCTCTGTGGTCTCCTTGGCTTACGGGGCCGTGTGTTAGACCTGGATCCCCTCCGCCTTTTCTCCTCCGTCTGCTGGTTCCTGCCTCTTCTGTGTCGTCTCTTCACTACCTTGTCTCCCTGGCAGTTTCGGCTCGTCTCTCTGTCTGCGAGCCCCAGAGGCTGCTCACGTCAGGAGGGGCTCAGCTGCGCTTCCCTCTTCCCCGTCGTCTCTATTTGTGACGTTTATTTCAAATCACATTGAAATATCCAATTTCTCTCTTTATAATTTTGTTCCAGAATCCTGATCTTCATTCTCTTCAGCCCAAGTTTTTGTCCTTTTCTACTGTTAGGTAAATATTTTTAATTGGAGAATGTGTAGATACAGATAAATGTGTACAGAAATTTTAACTTGGCCCTTCTTCTTGGGCTGGATATGTGAAATTGAGCTGGTTGCAAATATAGTAGATTTTCTTGTATCATATAACTCTTCCTTGAGATTAGAAAAGATTTTCCACACATCTCTTTCTCATAGCCTTACAAAGCAGCTGTTTCCCGGTTTTGTCACTGAGTTTTTAGCGTATACACACTGCGTGCGAAACTGACAACCACGTCGGTCCGCTGTTAGTGGCACACTGTCTTAACTTCACTCAACTTTGTATTGTCTCAGAAGACTTTTGCTTTCTAACTATTAAAAAATACAGATTCATAAGACTGAAACATATCTGTGCTGTGTTCTACCCTTTGGCTTTCAAAGAGTTGAATATTAAGATACCACTTTTTTGGTAAACGTCCAGAAGGATGGAGATGATATAAACCACTGGACTTTTCTTTTCCAAGGTTTGCTTAGCCTGAATCAGTAAGGGTTTTGTTTTGTCCAAACACTTATTAAAATATAAGACCATAGAACCACCCCCTTCCATCCCTCAAATAATTCAGCATCCTTCTCCACCCTGCCCAGGTGATTTCCCAGTTGTCCCTAAGTGGAGGACTTCAGGCACCTTTGGAGGCCGGGGCAGGTGTGCAATGTGTGTATAAAGTTCAGTGTCCAAGGTGTGACATGGGTTTTAGGAAGTTAGAAATAAGTGATGGTGATGGTTTTGTGGCAATTTTGGGTAAATAAAACTGGTGATGACACACATGAATATATGTCGCTGAAGATTCCTTTAACGTGCGGCCAGGAATGTGTCATAAGGTAACTGTTGTGCTGAGTGAGGGAGATTGTGAATTGTGAAGAATAGGTTTGTAAAGCATTCATTTGATAATGGCCTTAGTTTTGGGACAGAGAAGAAAGATGTTAGTGCAATCTGGGGAAAAAGGCATTTTTGGAGTCAATGCCATTAGAAGTAAGATTGACAACTCTCTGATAGGGAAAGAGGAGGAGAGAGAGGCCAGGGGTGGGAGAGAATTGGTTATTAAGTTGGGATTGGTACAAATATCGTGGTCCTTAATACTGAATCTTTAGTAACAATAACATTATTAATGTCAAATAGTATCTAATACTCACTGAGTTCCACATGCCCTGCATATTTATCAACTCATTTGATTCTTACAATGGTCCAGTGAGGTGTGGGACAATTTTCCCATTTTACGGTTAAGGATACTGAGCTTAGAGAGGTGCCATATCTTCATATGTGTAAGTGCAGAGCCGGGAGTGGACTCAGCCCTGACTCTGAAGCCTATGCTCTTAACTATTAAACTGTGCTCTGCTAAATGAGTCAGTCTTGCATCCTTTGTCAGAATTGTTCTAGCAAGGTGGGGTGTTTTTGCTACTTTCCTATGACTTGGCTAATGTGGTCGACTTTGCTCCTCAGCTGATAGCTAACGCTGTGTTTGTGATCTGCACTGGTTCCCTGGGACAGGTACCGCACATCAGTGTTGTTGCCAATAAACACTCTCTTAGAGCACTCATCCTCAGTGTATTTAATAAACAACAATTCAACATCAGTGGAAATAAATTTTAAATTCAGATATTTTTCAAATATGAAGAACTGAAGAAACAAGGGGAATTTATATTGTACGCTTAAATTTTACACAGATTGGCATTATACTGAGGTATAAAGGTAATACCTTCTCATTTATTCTTAATGGCAGCTAATAAGACTTTTATAAAGTCATTACAAGGCTTCTGTCCATGGCATACAGTTCCGTAAAAAATATTTTTCCGATAGTTTTCATCCCCTGCTTTCCTCCACCTGATTTCTTCCCCCTCATTTTATTCAATCCTCTCTTCCAGGTCCCAGCACAACTATTTAAGAATCACCCGTATTCTTAAAAGCCTTGGTGAGCTTGGATATGAAAGTTTTAAATCTCCTCTTGTAAAATTTATTCTTCAGGAGGCACTTGTGGAAAATACTATTCCCAATATTAAGCAGAGTGCTCTGGAGTATTTTGTTTATACCATCAGAGACAGAAGAGAAAGGAGGAAGCTCCTGCGGTTCGCCCAGAAGCATTACAGGCCTTCGGAGAATTTTATCTGGGGACCACCCAGGAAGGAGCCCTTGGAGGGAGGCAAAGCCCAGAAACCGGCCGCCCCTCCCGCCTCCGGTCAGAACAGCCAGACCCCTGTGCACAAGAAATCCAAGGACTCCAGAAATTCCTCCTCAGCTGTTCAAGTCAATAGCAAAATAGCCGAGGAAAAAAAGGTGGCACCTCCAGAGCCTGGAGACGAGACAGACGGGCCCGGCTCAGAGCCCGGCGGTGGGGACGCCCAGCCAGGAAACACAGAGAAGGATGAGAACCCTGAGAACTCAAGTTCTCCACCAGAAAAAACAGTTAACAAACCTGCAGAGAAGAAGGAGAGTGCATCTCCCGCCGAAAAAGATGCAGAAGGTGAAAATGATAGCACAGATTGTGAAAATCCTGGAAATACAGGTTCCTGTGATGCGGTAGCCTTACAGTGAATTGTCAGAAAACCCACACACCAGTTTAGGTAAGGGAGGAAAAAACTATGAACAGTTTATCCTGAGGAACAGAGATGAGGTCACGTTTCAAATTTCAGCCATCTCTCTGTGATTTCTGTTGTAAGCATTTTGTTGTTATTTGCTTTTTATTTTGATGACAATTTAATATGAAGTTTTAAGACAAGACCCAATGAATGAATGTACTCTGTAACGCTTTTGGGATGTGAGTTTTTAAATTCTGTACACAATAATGATTTTGAATGTATCTGGAAATGATCGTGTAGTATTTGATATATCAAATTCTTCTGAGAGATTACAGTCCACGTAAAGACGGTCAAGAGGATAATTGCATTGTGTGGCCACACTGTTACCCGATTTATGGATTAATTTTTTTAAGTTGGAAGAAAGAATTTGGTCTTCTCAAATGTATTCAGAAAGTAATGTAGATTTTTTCATCACAACCCCTCAGCATGTTTGTTTTTAAATTCTGACGAGATGATGCTCTTGGGGAGCTGAGATCTCCCCAGCCTGTCTGCCAGCCACTGACTTTTCCTCTTTCCCTCTCCACACGTGCCCTCCTTCTGCCATCTTTGTTAGCTGGCACGTGCATTTCTAGTGTCCATGTGGATCATCTCCTGTATTGAAATTTAAATGGAATGGAGGTGGATTTTCAACTGCATGATTTCAAGAGTTTGCTTTGTTTAAAATGATAAAAATGTTTTTTCTATATTAAGTGCTTAAAAACAAATTTTAATGCAAAAGTCCAAGAGAAGACTTTTGCTTTCTGTGGCTGTTCTATATAAATTTGGTGCTTGTTTCTGAATGCAAATGACCATGAAGAATTAAAACATAAGAAAGGAAATTACTTGTTTTTAAAACGCATGCCTCTAGCACTGGAAACCAGTCAGTGGTTTCTAAAACCGTGAATATCTCAGTGTTACGTGGACTATGAAATTAATAATATTGCTTAGTCCACAGTGTATCTTTTTTAAAAAAATACAATTTGATGCATCTCTAAGTTGTCAAACTTTGAAATTGAGAACAGATTTGAAATTACATATATTGAGTATTAGCAAGCACTTATCTGTTAATATTGGTTAAGAGCAAGTAATTTTATTCTGTATAATATAATATTATTACTCATTATTATTACACATCAGAAAACAATCAGAAACATTGTGATGAGAACTTCAAAGCATATGCACAAATATAGTTAAAGAAATTAATTGAAGAAAATTTCACTTTATTTCATTTGGAAAGAAATTGGCTTTTGTATGTCTCTGAGGCTTTTATGAAAAGTTCTATTCACTTTAACCCCCAGAGAATTTTTACTAGTTCCTATTTTTTAATCATATCACATCATCTTCTATTATTGTTATCGATCAGAGGATTTTCAGCAGAGGATTTCTAGAAAATAAACACACCGATAATATGTCTTTAGAAATATGATTTTATTGCTTTAAAGTTTACGTGAACCATCACAGTTGCTCAAACCTGACTTTTTAGTATGAATGTTAGTAACACTCATGTTGTATGTCATATTCCAATAAATACATTATAGAATATTTTCTTTTGGTTCCCGTAATATGCCAATTTTTGCTTCCCACTGTTTTGTGAAGTGAGCATTGGGATTTGGGGAAACAATTCTGCTTTTGTGTTTTGGTTTCTTTTGTCCATGTACCCGCTAGTGCCCCCAAAAAACTCAGTAAACATTTCCACAGGGCTAGGGGATGAGAGGAGGTTTTCACATTAGGCCGAATTGTAGGAATACAATTAATTCAAAATATCCTACCAATTTTGCATACATGATAAAGTATTCAGACTGCCTTCTAAGTGCAAAATATTAAAAATTAATGACCATTTCCCTTCTTCTACTGATTTTGGGCTTTCTTTGTTCTTCTTTTTCCAGTTCCTTCAGGTGCATTGTTAGATTGTTTATTTGAGATTTTTCTTGTTTGTTGAGATAGGCCTGTATCGCTATAAACTTCCCTCTTAGAAGTGCTTTTGCTGTATCCCATAAATTCTGGCATGTCGTATTTTCATTTTCATTTGTCTCCAGGTATTTTTTGATTTCTTATTTGATTTCTTCGTTAATCCAGTCAAAATGTAAAGAGTCCACATCCTTTGACCTAGAAATTCCACCTCTATGAATTTTTCCTGGTGATATACTTGCACATGTGTGAAATGATTTATTACGTTGTTTGTAATTGCAAAAAATGGCAACAAATTAAATATCCCTTGATAGGAGCTTGGTAAAATAAAATATGATACATCCATTGAATTGAAAAAAAAAAAAATTAATGACCAGATGTTAAAATGTTAATAAACAGTGGACAGATACTAAAATAAAAGGATATACTCTGAATTACTTAGAAATTGTAGTATATCAGACCCCTCAGAAGTAAAGCATTTCATTCAACAATTTAACTTTTACTTATTTATTTATTTATTTTTTAAAGTTTTTATTTTTTTTTTTGTGAGGAAGATCAGCCCTGAGCTAACATCCGTGCTAATCGTCCTCTTTTTGCTGAGGAAGACCGGCTCTGAGCTAACATCTATTGCCAATCCTCCTCCTTTTTTTTTTCCCCAAAGCCCCAGTAGATAGTTGTATGTCACAGTTGCACATCCTTCTAGTTGCTGTATGTGGGACGCGGCCTCAGCATGGCCGGAGAAGCAGTGCGTCGGTGCCGCGCCCGGGATCCGAACCCGGGCCGCTAGTAGCGGAGCGTGTGCACTTGACCGCTAAGCCATGGGGCCAGCCCCAACAATTTAACTTTTAGAATGTTATGCCTAATTATGGCTTTGATTACCTTGTGCCATTTAATTTGAGAATATTTGGTCTCAAGGGAAAAACTGCCTGCTTCCATTTAAAACAGTGGCCTTTTTCCACCGTGTTGTTTTTTAAATGCATATTCACATGTAACGGTATGTTTCCTACATGTAAATAACTTATGAGAGAATTGTTCAGTGGAGAAAAGTGAGAGGACGTCATTCCTTTTGCAGATAAAAATTATGTGTTTAGATTTTTTTTCTATTAAGAATACTTTGTACATTTAATAGTTTTTTAAATAAGATCCATCAATATGTATCTGTGTGTGTCTTAGATATGAAACAGTCCCCCAGGTTTGACTCTGATGTTTTGTATTTTTAAAAATTACCATATGCTTGCAGAAATTTACTGAGGAGCTGTTATAAAAATGTGGTGAAGCATGGCCAAATAGCTAGAAACATTATTGAATCTTTGCAAATATATAGACTTTATTGTGCCATGGACTGTGAGAATACTAAATATTGGCTGTTGATAAAATACTATCTTGCATTTCACAGCAAATAGATGTTATACTGCTGGGCTAGTCTAGTGCATTTCTAATGTTTTGTGCTTTCATATCTCTCAGGAGATAATATATGTGAAAATATTTTGAAATACTGTAAAGTGATATATAATTATATATATATTTCTGTACAGTAGAGAAAAAGTTTATAACATTAAGAATATTGTGCCATACACTTTCACACTCAATCTCATAGGAAACTCAAAAGAATCATAATAGAAGTGAAAATATGTCTGCTTTCTCTAAATCGAGTCTAAGTTCTCAGTTCGCAAGTTATTTTGTATAGTTTTATCTTGAATTTAGGTTTTGGGACTACTTTTTTCAGCTTCAAGGATGAAAACTTACTACTCAGGAGTTATGAGAGAAGTTGTACAATTTTGTGCTAAAAAATATAAACATGAAAATGCCCTTAACACCTATCATAGTCATTATATTTCATATTTTGTCATATAAAATGACCTATTCTGCTTCTAGCTTTTATACTTTACATGAAAGTGTGAACTGGGGAGAAAGGATAAACAGTGCAGTGTTACATGTGAGTTACTCTTTAGAAATCATTTTAGTAAGTAACCTTCCATGTCAAGTGGTCAAAAAATTGGTTGAAATGATGGGTAGAGAATATTTGGTTAATTGTTTAAAGTAAAATTTCCCAAGTTTATGGTAGAGTTATGGTTGAGTTTATAATCCACTGAGTGACTAAATCAAGCAGGTTCTTGGTCTTTCCATAATGGATGCTCTTCTACAAGATTTATTTTCTTAGCTGAGAAAAGAATGTTCTTGATCTTGCTCGACTGTAGTTACATCTGCAGGTCTTTCGTGTCTGTTTGGGGGTGAGTAGGGATCCTTTGTTACAGGAATAGTTTTGAAGATTTCTCTTTTGTTTCCCACTTAGCAAGTTCCTCTTTCTCTTTTGGGGTATATGTGTTAAATATAGGGTAGGCTGGCGTTAGACGTGCTAGAATCATTTCACATGTAGATGCAGTTATAGAGAAGGATGTAGGGTATAGAAAATTAGGTGTATGTATAAAATGACTTCTTTCAACTTTGAATTCTGTGCTATTATATGGACAGATTTGTGTGGTAATCTCTAGGGTGACAGTGAGTCCCACCCTGCCTTCCTTCCTGTTCTTGTCATTCAGTCCACCCAGCAGATTGTGTTCGAGCACAGACTGTGTTTTTAGAAATCCACTATTACTGGAGTTAATAATAACATAGTTGTAAATATGAATGCCTGGAGGTGTCTAGATGTGCCTTAACTCATGTGAATTGTTTTCATTCAGAAGTTTAAATTTTTATTCCATTGTAAAATCTTGCCATAAGGAACTTTCCAAACCATGGATATCGGTTATTTTAATGAAATTTACTTTGCTCCTTTTTCATTGTGGAGAAATTTCCGTTTGTGACAATAGCATCAGTTCATATGGAAGTGTACTCGCCACAATGTTCAACGGTATGTTATATTTGACAAAAAATGTTTAGAGTAAGAAAGATTATGTTGTTTGTTACATTTATTTATGCTTTTACTTAATTTTGCTACATGCTATAATTTTCATCTTAAACATTTTTCAGTTGCTATAGGTAATATTTCTCTGTGTTTTACTTCTTGTTCTTAGATGTAGATGGATGCAGAAAATGGAATTCTATTAGAGAAATTATTTAAAAGGTTAA